TGTGTTCAGGCAGCTCGAGCTTGAGACCCAGATCAGTTCGGTCAGGACTCAAATGTAACAGAGGACTCGATCCACAACGCCATAGAGCGCAATCGCGGCGTGGCACATCAGAATTTAGCACGGCGCAGCACAGCACAACCCTTGGTACGGTACGTCAAGATCGATATGCTCAACATTGCAATTGCCCGTCGCCCAATCAGGTATATTGAAAACGTCGCCATGCTTTACATGCTTATATTCCTTTCTGGGTTCGTGGGCCGATCAGGCTATTTTTCAGTAATGGAAGTTCAACAACAACATCAACAGCAACAACAACGACAACACAGCAACAACATCAACAATACCACTACCAATCCGCACCGCAGAGTTTAATTTCAGCCATGCGTCCAGGGACAGCGAATGACCGTCGCCCCCCTCACTCTGATCATAATCTTTGTTCACTTGCCCACTGCCCTTGAGAGGGGCAATGCCATAGTACCCCTCTGCGGTGCCGAGGACGTGGGCTTCGAGGGCTCCGACCAGGACTGGAGGGAGGAGTACGAGCTGCTCTGCGCCGAGCACCACCTCGACGGAAGGCGGGGGATACCCATGGACATCATCATGAACGTCCTGGAGGCCAGTGCTCGAAGAAGAAAACATCGCATACACAGAAACTGTTGGCTCTCCGCGCGGATTGCTTGGATCTGCGCTGGGCACACCTGGCGGCGCCTGTGGCGCCGCCCCTGGCGCGCGGAGCGCGCCAGGGAGTGGGACTCAGCGCAGATCCAAGACATCCGCGCGGACCGTCGAAAGTTTCTGCTCAAGCCTTTTGTTTGTGCTCCTACCGTTCGGGCGGCACAAGAGACGGAGTCGCCTGCGCCGGCGTTGGTGCGTGAGCTGCCCGCGTCAGGTCGCGCGTGGGCTCCCTCGTCTCCACTGTGGCGTGCCGCGCCTGCGGCCCGCGCAAGCCACCGCGTAAGGGCGCTGTGCCGTCTCGCGTAAGACCCTTTGTTTATCGTCGTGCGTGTGGAACATTACATGTTGCATGCCGCTGAACCTCGAAGGAAAGAAAACCATGTTACACATCAGTTTTCGGAGCTTCGCCCTGGTTTCTTGGATGGGCGCCGGGGACCCCCTGGCGGCGCCTCTGGCGCCGCCTTTGGCACGCTCTGCACACCACTGAGGTGGGTCTCCGATGTATGTCGCTAAATCGGTACATGGAGAAATGTGGCAACATGCTTTCAGCACCTCAACCGCGCCCTGATTATCCAGATCCGCCGCCCTGCAGCATTGCCCTGGGACATCGAGCACCTCTCGCGCAGTTGCGAATATTGGTATACGTGCCCCCCAGAAATGACTGGACAGCATGCGTGTCCAGATCGCATCCTGATAGCACGCGATGTCCGAGAGGCGGCCCGAGTGGATTCAAACACCACCCATTCAAGGCCACCCATGTGAATATCTAACATGGTGGTCCCAAGCTGGAACCTCGTGATCTCACGTGTCCAGGCCACCTAGGGCGACATCTAACATGGTTGCCCCGAGCTGGAACTACGTCTTCTCACATGTCCAGGCCGCTCAAGGGGGGTTCTAACATGGTGGTCCCGAGCTGGAGCCGCGTTTTTGTGGGTGTCCAGGCCACCCGGCGCGGCCTCTAACCTGGTTGCCCCGAGCTGGAACCTCCACGACCACATGTTCGATATCCATCCTTGGATGGCCTGGACACGCGAAAACACGTGGGACAAGCGGGACAGCACATGGGTTCCTAACGCCCCAGAGCGGGACGGTGCATGCCCCTCCCCCTTTGTCGCATCCCCTGACGCAACCTCTGTCGCGTTCCCTGGTTGTCCCCTGGCGCTTTCCCTGCCCGTTCCGTGGCGCGACCCTTACCACGTCCCCTCACACGTTCCTTGGCGCATCCCCCAGCGCGCCACTGGCAAATCCCGTGGCGCGTCCATGCGCCCTGCGCCCCGTGTCGTCTCGTCCCTCTTCGGAACTGAGTCGGATCTGGAGCTCCAGCTGATTGAGCGTCCCACACGTTTCGATTGCAACCAGCTCTGGGCCAGTTATGCGCTCAGGCAGCTCGAGCTCAAGATCCGGATCTTTTCGGTCAGGATTCGCATGCCAAGGGAGACTTGATCCACAACGCTTATAGAGCACAACACAACTCATCGCGGCCTGACACATATTATTTCGGCACAGCACAGTACAGTACACGCTTTGGCACGGTACATCACGACCGATATCTTAAGCATTGCAATTATTTGTCGTCCAACCAGGTGTCTCGCGGCTCTAGATTCCTTTTTTGGTTCTTAGGTTGTTGATGTCTCTTGTTGCATTCTGGTATCTCACGTTCCCGAATAGGGCGCGGTCCCAGGTATCTCTTCTAGTGTTGTAAGTTGTCCCCCGGTGCCCAGTTCAAAGACGGTCGGCAGATTTCCGCTCGATCGAAAACGATGTAAAGTTCCGTTATGTTTGAACACGTGCGTTTCGCGCATGCCGGCTCGAGGACAGTACGCCCCCCATCCCCGACTCGATAATCCGCTCTTTTCTGTTGTGAAAAAGAAGGTGCAAAGCGTTTTGCGCCACAGCGTTCTGTATGCGATGAGCCCGCGGCAGATCACATTGCCTGGAGGCCACACAGTTCTGCAAATACCCAACTCTCGCTTTTTTTCTCCGCTTGCCCGCTCGAGGATGGCGCGCCCTGCGCGACAGGAGTGCCGAGGGTGTCCCCAGCGAGGAAAAGACTGCTTTGCAGACCCTGTGCGGGCCTCCGGCGCCCCAGGTGGACGCCCCCCGAGACGCCCCCCGAGCGGGCTGCGGGTGAAGCAGCGCTGGGGTTCCTAACGCCCCAGATAGGGGGCCACATGCGAGCCCGACCCCTACTACCCCACGACTTCTGAGGGGGAGGGGGGGGGTTCACTGCGCTCGGGAGCTCCCGAACGAAGTGAACCCCACCCTCCCCCTCAGAAATCGTGGGGGGTAGTAGTAGGGTTCGCATCTGGCCCCAAACCAGAGCGGGACAGAGCGTGCCAGCATGTGGAGGCCCCAGGAAGCCTCCAGGAGCCCCCAGGAGGCCCTTGATCAGAAGGATTCCGGTTCATTGCAAATCCGGTGTCGGTTCAGGTGCCTCTTTCTGGCTAGTGTGCCCCCCTGTCTTGGGGGCTCAGACGACCGCATGTCAGACATCTCCTCTGGGTGGCCCGGACAACACATGGGTTTCTAACAACGCCCCAGAGCGGGACAAGCGTGCAAAACATGTGGGCTCCCCCAACCCCCCAGAGCGGGACAGGCGTGAAAACATGTAGACGGCCGCCCAGGGGGTATCCCACATGGTTGTCCCGAGCTTGAACCACGTGTTCATGCGTCCAGGCCGCAGAGGGGGATGGCCAACATGTGGCCGTCTGCCTGAGCAAATTGTGCTGATGTATCGAGCGAGGGTTTCGGAAGTGAATCGGATCATGAGCTCGAGCTGGTCGAGCGCCCTGCGCGTTCCCACTGCAACTAGCCCATAGCTGCGTTCAGGCAGGTCGAGTTTAAGATCCAAATCAGGTCGGTCAGGATTCGGACTTCAAGGATGGCTTGATCCACAATTCAATTGCGCATGGCACAGTTCAACGCGGCATGTCGCCTGGTAAGTTTCGTGGCAGTTCCACTGGCACGTTCCGTGGAGCGTCCCTTGGCACGTTACTATGCGGCGCGGCGCGGCGCAGAGCATCCTATCGCAGCCATAGGCACAATATCATCACCATTGATATCTTCAACATTGCCATTGCCCATCGCCCAATTGAGACGCTTGGAAACGTTCCCATGCCTCGCAGTGCTAATTCCATTTCCGAGTTCGTGGGTCGATCATGCCTTCGGCTGAACTTGCTCCACGGCGCCCCTTGGATATGCCATACAGCGCTTACAAAGGCCCGAAACTCACTCTATGGTGCGATCGACTCCATGTTGTTCCACTCGTCATTGTATTGCGTCTCTTCCGCGCTATGCCCTTGCGTCCAAGCTATCGGGAACTCGAGCGCGCGAAGTGCGCGCAAAGGTTTCTAGTATCCATATTCACCGCTCTCTTGGAACTCTGGGCAGGGGTCCAACGTCTTTGGGAGTACAAGCCGTGACTCCTTACCCAAGGGCCAAATACATAGACTAGTTGTCTGCCCTTCCGGGTTTTGTGAGACCAGAGGACAAATCCGAGTTGGGGCTGTATTGCACCGACCAGGAGATCCGGCAGTTGCTGGTCAAAGCGGAGGCCACAAAAAGGGCTGTGGCTGGTGGAGGCAACAAGAAAGAAGACGATGCTGAGTTCGTGCGAATATTCTTCGCGGGGGCGAACTTCAGCACTTCAGAATCAATGCTCAAATCTACATTCGAAGAGGTGGGTGCAGTTGAGGAGTTTACGTTGTTTCGTCTCCAAGATGGGCGCTCCATGGGCATGGGACGGGTCCTTTACGCATCGCACGAAGACGCCAAGACGGCTGTACGCACCCTCAACCAGCGCGAGGTCGATGGGCGCCAGATGATGGTGCAGGTCGATCAGCGTGGGGAGGACGATGCGGAAGGCGAGGGCAAGGCCAAGCGGAAAGGCAAGGGCAAGGACAAGGATTCGGGCGGCAAGGATAGCGGCAAGGGATACCATGCTGGCAAGGGCGACTACGAGCCAAAAGGCAAGGGCGGCAAGGGCCAAGACTGGGGCTGGAGCGAGGACGGGGTAGCATCGCGCGGCAGATACGGGAAGGGCGGCGGTGACCCCGGCGACCACAGGACCATGTTCTTCGCGGGGGCGTCCTTCGACTCATCTCGGGCCGGACGAAAAGGGTGGATTGGGGAAGGGGGGGTTACGAAATCTGATCTGCTGCGTGCAGCTGGTTTCGGCCCCACCGAGGGGCCCATTCCTCGATACGTAGCCGCCTCCCGGCGCAGGGAGGCCGGGAAAATCAGCGACGCGAGCTGAGTCTCAGACCCCCCCTTTGGCTATCCCCCCCTCTCGCCCGACCCGATCATCCGCCAACTTCCTCCGGAAGACGTTCCAGCAGGCGGGCCAGATCTCGCAGTTCTGGCTCTTCCAGGAGCGGAGCGGCTACTCCCGCGGCATGGGCGTGGTGCAGTACGAGACGGCGCGGGAGGCGAGCCGGGCCGTGCAGAGGTTCTCGGGAGCGGAGGTTCTCTCGGGCGCCCAAAAGTGGATACGATCAAGCAGTGGCGCAGCGTCCTGGCTCGCCTATAGCCCTACCAAGCAAGGTTCTAAGAGCCTTGTGCGGCTTCCAGGGTATATGTTCTCAGAACATGTCTGGCTGGGACTGTCTTGTTTTCACACATCGGGGATGTGTTCTAAGAGCCTTCTTTTTGTTCGTAGAGCTTTTTGGGGTTCTAAGAACATTTCGTGGTAGGACTATAGGAATGCCTGGACGGTCGGTCCCTGCTCAAGATACGGAACAATGGGTACGGTGCCCAACAACAAGTGCTGTCCCCAACCGACGGCGGCCGCTGCTGGGCAGGCGGCTGTCTGTCTTCCGGGAGCAGCGCCCGCGGCGGCGCGAACAGCGAGCGGGTCTTGCGCACTCTTAGGAGGCCACATGCGAACCCGACCCCTTACCCCCCACGATTTCTGAGGGGGAGGGTGGGGCTCGCTTCGTTCGGGAGCTCCCGAGCGAAGTGAACCCCACCCTCCCCCTCAGAAGTCGTGGGGAGGGTGGGGGTAGGGCTCGCATGTGGCCTCCTGAGCGTGCGCAGGAGCTGCCGTTGGGCATCGTGTACCCGCTCCCTCCGTGCCCACTGTTCGGTCGTGTCCTGGGAGGTCGGCGGGCGCGTGCTCTACGCCAAGCTGGACGAGCGGGGCCTCCTGCAGCAGGCGCAGGCCGCCCAGGTCGGCCAGGAGCACGCCGAGTGGGACGGCGGGTGGTCGGGCGGCGGCAGCAGCAAGGGCTACGGCGGCTACCATCGGAGAGGGAACATCGGCACGCGCGCATGGCCTCACGGTGGGGCGTGTCCCTCCTCTACGGGAGGAATATTCAAAAATAGCGGCGATTGTTGTTAGTATTGTTTTGCTAGGTTTGAATATGTTTTGAGTATCCGCCTGCAGGGGGGACGCCCGACCTAAGCATAGCCTTGAATGGGGCATGTCCCTCTACAGGAGGAAGGATCCACAATAGTAAGAAATAGTCTGGGGGGACGATTTGCTCTAATTATTTTCCTGGAAAGGGCGTCGGCCCAGGGTTCTCTTCCAGCTGTTTCCCCCCCGCCTCGACTTGCGTAGGGCCGGCGACTTTAATTGAAATAACGAGGTCGCGAAGAGCCGGCGAATTAAAAGGTTGAGGATGTCCCCAGCGAAACAGTGGTTTTTGAAATCCCGATCGATAAGTCACGTGGTGAAGTAAGCGTTTTCGTTTGTTGCGGCTATCTCAAGCAACACGCCTGATTGTGGTATAGATTGCTCCTCTCCTGGGGACCAGAATTCAGAGGATCTCAGGTGAAATTCTTCACGTGCCCAGGTCTTGAGGATTTCTCAAGCGAGACGCTTGTTTCCACGCGTCCAGGTCGACCTGGCGGATGTCTACCATGAGGATGTGTCGAGGACGTCTCGAGCGAGACGCTTGGCTTCGCCTGTCCAGGTCGCCCAGGCGAATGTCTAGCATGAAGATGTGTTGAGGACGTCTCGAGCGAGACGCTTGGTTTCGCGTGTCAAGGTCGCCCAGGCGGATGTCTAACATGAGGGTTTGTTGAGGATGTCTCGAGCGAGACGCTTGTTTTCACGTGTCCAGGTCGCCCAGGCGGATGTCTAACATGAAGATGTGCTGAGGACGTCTCGAGCGACCCGGGTGTTTTCACGTGCCCAGGTCGCCGAGGCAGATGTCTACGGATGTCTAACATGAAGATATGGTGAGGATGTCTCTAGCGAGACGCTTGGTTTCGCGTGTTCAGGTCGCCCAGGCGAATGTCTAGCATGAAGATATGTTGAGGACGTCTCGAGCGAGACGCTTGTCGCAATAGAGTGCGTCGCAGTCCAACCTCGCCCGTCCGTGGGGCGCCCCCTGGCGCGCTGGCGCGTCCCCTGGCGCGTCCCTTGCGACGTTCTGGCGTGACTTGCCCTGGTACGTCCCCTAGCGCGCCACTCGGCGTGGCACATTCCTTGGCTCATCCTCTGTCGCGTTTCCTGGCTCGTCCCCAGGCGTTTCCCGTGCCCGTTCCGTGGCGAGCCCCTTGCGCACCTTCCCTGGGCAGGACGTCCTCTGGCCGCCCCCTATGGCACGCGCCTTGGCACGTCCTGTGGCAGGTCCTTGACACGTCCAGGGCACGCCCCCTCACAGGTCCCCTGACACGTCCCCTGGCGCATCCCTTATGGCGCCCCTGGCACATCCCGTGGCGCGCCCGTGGAGCCTGTGGCCCGTGTCGTGTCGTTCCTTTTCGGAGCTGAGCTTCATTGTGAGGTGGAGCTGAGTGGACTCAGAGCGTGAATTACCTACCCCGCTTTCGCTTCCAGACAAAACCAAGTCGTACCACGCGCCTCCTCGTCAAGCGGCCTGACCAGTACAGGCCGTAGTTTGGCATCGCTTGGTATCTCTTGGAAGCGAGGGTGGTCAAAAGCGAGGTAGGTTTGTTTGCCCTCTATGAACGTCCTCCACGTTTCCACTTCAACTAGCTCTGGGGGAGTGCTCAGGCAGCTCGAGCTTAAGATCCAGATCAGTTCGGTCAGGACGCGGATGTTAAGGAGGACTCGACCCACAACGCTATAGGGCACAATCGCGTCTTGGCACATCGCACTTGAGCACGTCACAGCAGAGCACAGCCCTTGGCACGGTACATCAGCATTGAATGTGCCCGTCGCCCACTCAGGTGCCTTGAGAAAACGTTGTCATGTCTCACACGTCTATCTCCAATTCCTTTCTGGGCTCGTGGGTCAATCATATTGTCGATGTGTTGATTACGTTTTGACTATCTGGTTATTCGTCTTCCAAAGCCAACCTGTAGGAGGACATGCCCGACCTGAGCATACAGCGGATGCCAAGAAACACCTTGCTTGCCTCCAGGGTGCCCTGGGTTTCTTGGGTTTCGATGGTTTTGCGATGGAGGGCACGCCGCTCCCACACCAAAATTCCATGGACGTCCTGGGGTCTCAGGGTGCGGAGCTACACTGTCAATGCCGCGCTCTCCTGTGGCTTTGCTGCGCTCCTGCTCGCAGCGCACACCGCCAGAGGCGGCGGAGAGCTCGAGAAATCCACCTACCACAAGTTCCCTGTGGCAGGTTTCTTGTGGTCGGCCCCTGCCGTAGCCCTTTCGGAGGCCCGCGCGACCAGCTCTCTCCAGGGCTCCTTGCGCCAGGCCTCCCCCCAGGCGGCGCCCTCTCGGCGCCGCCGCCCCCCCTGGTGCGTCTCCTCTCGCGCGCCGGGGCTGGGCTGGACGCCAAGGGGCGGGGAGTGGGAAAGAGGAGGGGCTCCTCCTCCTCCTCCTCCTCCTCCTCCTCCTCCTCCTCCTCCTCCTCCTCCTGCTTCTTCTCCTCCTGCTTGTCCTCCTTCTCCTATTCCTCCTCCTCCTCCTCCTCCTCCTCCTCCTCCTCCTCCTCCTCCTGAAAGGAGGGGCACGGAATCTGCTGGGGGCAGCGCCGCTGGTCGCGGCCCCGCCGCCAGGCGCTTTCTTCCTCGATGCAGGGGGGGCGCCCCCGAGCGCTTGCCTAGAGAGCCAGCTGGCCGCGAGCTGGTTCGCACCCCCCCCCCTATACCCTATACGGTCCCCTTCCCAAGCGTCCGCCTCCTGCGGTCTTCCCCCCCTCCCCTGCGGTCCCCCCCCACCCTGCGATTCCCCCCCCCTCTGCGGCCCTCCCCCCTTCCCCTGCGGCCCCCCTCCCCTGCGTCCGCCCCGACGGGAGGAGGAGGCAGGTCCGGCGCGCGAGGGAGGCGCGCGGGCCCCCTGCGAGAACAAGGTCATGTCGGCGCGCCGATCTTTGGCGTCTCCTGCGCATCAGGGCGGGAGCAAGGGCTGTGGCTGGAGCAAGGGGTACAGCAGCAGGGGCGGCGGCTACGGCGGCCGCGCGGGGCAGCGCAACTTCCGTGCACGTCCTGCCTCGTCCGCTGCTGTCTTGTCCCCCCTCCCTTGGCGTATTCCCTCTCCTCCTCCTCCTCCTCCTCCTCCTCCTCCTCCTTCTCCTCCTCCTCGTCCTCCTACTCCTCCTCATCCTCCTCCTCCTCCTCCTCCTCCTCCTCCTCCTCCTTCTCCTCCTCTCCTCCTTCTCCTCCTCCTGGGTGTCGACGAGGCCAAAACGGGGTACACATCAGCTTTCGGAGGTCCGTGTGGATTCTTTGGATTTGCGCTGCGCCCTCCTGGCGGCGCCTCCAGCGCAGCCCCTGGCGCGCTCCGCGCGCCAGGGAGACGGGTCCAGCGCCGATCCCAGACATCCGCGCAGACCTCCGACAGCCTGTGTCTCAGGTTTTGTTGTGTTCCTCTAGGGAGGGGGGGTGGTACGTTTAGGTCGGGCCTGTCCCCCCCCCCTACAGGGGGGGCTTGGGCGAAAAATTCAAAATATCCAACACATATCCCAAACACGCAATTACAAATAGTGAAGAGGTCGTCCCCAGAGTATGCTTGGACTATGTTTGACTATTCCTCCTGTAGAGGGACAGGCCCGACTGGAGGGTACGTCGGGGGCCCCCAAACGATGTGGTGACCACCGTGGTGCGGTGAGTCGGCGGGTATTCTGGGTGGGCCGCACGGTCTCGGGGCCTAGGGCCGCTCTCCGAGGACGCCTCGGGCGTCTGGGGCCTCCAGCGTCCCAGGCCCGTGCGGTGGCGGGCCGCGCGGTGAGGTCGCGGGGGATGCCGAGGTCACCGCGCGGCCTCTCGTCGCACAGTTGTGGGACCTCGACATGTGTAGTCTTCACTGCATATGTGCAGAATTATGTTCGGATCGATGTAATTTTGATTAATTCGTGGCACCCCGCAGTTGCGGATAAGAGTGAGGGGGGCGGTGGGGGTGTCGGCAGTCTGCGAGATTCTTCAGGCTTGCGCCACATCCGCCGACCCCTTTATGAAGAATCGCGCAGTGGTCTTGTCGCCTCTTTGGGTGGTCTGAGGCCCCTGGGCCATTCTGGGGGCATTCTTGGGTTGTCTTGGGGCCCCTTAGGCAGTCCTGGGGCAGTATTGGGCTGTCTTGGGGCTCTCTTGGGCTGTCATCGGCCTCTCTTGGGCTGTCATGGGGCGCTCTGGGCGTTCTTTTCGGCCGTATTGGCCGTCGCCATCTGTTGCCGAGGACTGTGGTATGCCCTTGGTGACCTCAGAACTGCTTTGCGGTGTCTTTTGGAACCGTCAGGGGCGGCCGTGGGGTGACCTTGAATCGTTTCAGGCCATCGTGAAGCTATCTTGGCCCTTCCTGACGTTAAGCGGAACCGTCTCGGCGTCCTCTGAGGCTGTTTTGGCGCTCCATGAACCTCTCTTGAGCCGTCCTGGAGGTCTTTTGGGCCGTCCTGGGGAGACCTCGGGGGCGTCATAGGCCGTCTTGGAGCGTCGGACAGGCGGGAAAGCGAGTTTGCTAAAAATGTACGTTTGACGAAAGGAATGGGGCCATGTTTGCGTCTTGGGACCCTGTTGGGGCACATCTTCGGGGCACCTTGGGGTGTCTTGGGGGCTGCGGAGAGCGTTTGGGGACCATCGCCGGCGTTTGGGGTCGATATTCCAGCGATTCGCGGCCCTCTTGGACCGCGTGGGAAGGCGTCTTGGGGCTGTCTTGGAACATTTTGGGGCGCCCCCCCCCCTTTGACGCGCATTGTCCGGGACCTGGCGCGGCCCGGGAGGGGTCAAATTCCCGGTTTGGGGTCCCCAGGGGGGGATTTTATGGGTGGAACAATCTCACACGCCTGAGGACCCACAAGGGGCCGGCGGATTTTTGAAAATTGCTGGTCGCCCTCTTGGGCCCCTCTTCGTGTCGTCTTCGAGCCCTCATGTGCCGTCTTGAGGACCTCTAGGGCCGTCTGGGGACAATCTTGGGCCGTCTTGGGGCCATCTTGGGGGCCTCTTGGGCCGTATTGGGGTCGTCTTGGGGGGCTCTTGGGCCGTGTTGGAGCATCGGGACGCCGAAAAGGCGAAAAGGCCAAAAACGCAATGAACATGTAATGACATGCGTAGTTTGCGCGTCTTTCAGATGTCCTGAGGGTCATCTTGAAGATGGCACTCAAGGGCGGTATGGGTACCCCCGATTACGGACACGGCTGGGATCTCTTGCGGGGTTGCTCGCGGTACTCTTGGAGGCAGCTTCGAAGCCTCTTGGGGGCCGTTTTGGGGCCGTGTTGGGGCCTCTTGGGGCTTTTTGGGGCCTCTTGGGGGCGTCTTGGAGGTCTCTTGGGGCCTCTTGGAGCCTTTTGCGGCCGTCTTGGGGCGGAAGGCTCGGATTGTCGGGTCGGGCTCCCCCTCTTGGGTCCCTCTTGGGGCCCTCTTGGGCCGTCTTGGGGGCCTCTTGGGCCGTCTTGGCGCCCTCTTGGGCCGGCTTGGGCCACTATTGGGGGCTTCTTTGGCCGTTTTGGATCGAACATGGGGTGTTTATGGACCGTCTTCAACGCCGTGAGAGCCGACAAGTCATATTTGATCAAAGTGTACGTTTCCCATAGGAATTTGACGATTTTCGGCTCTTCGGCCCTTCTGGGGACTGCTCTTGGAGGCCTCTTGGGATGTCTTGGCTCGTCTTGGGGCCTTCTGGGGCGTCTGGGAGCGCTCGTTTGGCGTCTCGGGGCCCTCGTGGGCCGTCTTGGAGACGTCTTGGGGCCTTCTTGGCTCGTCGTGAGGCCCAAAAGAGCCAGTGGTGCGCTCGTCCGGGGCCCGGGGGGGGGGGGCCCAGGGGGGGGGGTCGAATCGTTAGGGGGGGTCCCATGGGGGGGGTTAGGGGGGGAACTATTTCACACGCCTAGAGACCCACAAGGGGTCGGCGGACTCTGGAGAAGCCCGCCGCAGGCGCCAAGTCCCACAAATTGTACAACGAGCCCACCGCAGGCGCCGACTTTTTCTTCAAACCAGTGTGGATCGGTTGCGGGTAGGTCGCGGGTGGGTTGCGGAGTGGGTCGCGGGTGGGTCGCGGCGGGTCGCGGGTGGGTCGCGGGGTGGGTCGCGGGGTGGGTTGCGGGGTGGGTCGCGGGTGGGTCGCGGCGGGGACGACGACAACAAACAACAACAACACCATCACCAACAACGCAACAAGCAGAATTCTCACCACGGATTCTCACTTCAGCCACGCACGCAGGAACAATGAAGAGCATGTTTGTTGACTACTTTTATTTTTTCGTCGAAAATCCGCCTGTAGGAGGACATGCCCGACCTAATTTTATTTCCGTTTGACCTTGCCTATCTAGTCTGGCTTAATTCTGGGTTTGGTTTGAGCTAGTCCGGCTCAAGGGCCCCTGAATCGGGCTCAACAGGTCTGAATCGTTCTGATGAAGACCTCCCAGGATTTGCTTCCAAACGTGCGTCTTCTCGTCCACCCTCCACCAGCTCTCTTTGCTGCTGCTGGGAACCCGGCGCGCGCTTCGTAAGCCCACCCAGGCTACACCGGCAGCTACGACCAGGGCGGCTACGACTCCAACAAGGGCGGCTACGACAAAGGCGGCTATGACAAGGGCGGCTACTCGAAGGGAGGCAAGACGGTCGCGAAAGGAGGAGGCAGGTACGACACGCAGGACAGTGAGCAGTCCAACCGAGTGTTCTTCTCGGGCGTGCCGTTCAGGGCGCCGGCGTCGTCTGTTCAGGCGTATCCGGTTGCCTGCGGCAAAGTCCCGCCACCGTGCCAGCACAGCATTCTTGGTGGCGGCTGTTCGAGGGGGCACGGGAGACCGTCAAGTGTAACACTTCGAGTCTCGAGGCTTGGAGGAACCGTGATAAGGATTTATGGGGATGATGGGCGTGATGACGATGATAACGATGATAACAATAATGATGGTGACGATGACGATGATGGTGATGACGATGACGATGACGACGACGACAACGACGACTACGATGATGATGATGATGATGATGATGATGATGATGGTTAAGATGAGAATGATGATGATGGTGGTAAGTGTGATGATGATGGTGATGATGATGGTGATGGTGATGGTGATGGTAATGATGGTGGTGATGAAGATGAGGAGGCTCATGATGACGGTGATGATGATGACGACGATGACCATGAGTATTGTGATGACGATGGTGATGACGATGATGATAACGATGATGATGGTGATGATGATGTTGATGCTGATGCTGGTGGTGATGGTGATGAGGATGATGAGGATGACGAGCATGAGGATGACTATGACGATGATGGTGATGATCGGGGATGATGACGGCGATGACGACGATGATGGTCATGATGATGACGATGTTGCTGATGATGATGATGGTGATGAGGATGATGACGACGATGCCGATGATGATGATGATGATGATGATGATGATGATGATGATGATGATGATGATGATGGTGACTAGAATCCTTCTTATATTCAAACCTACTTGAGCCTTGATCACCAGAAATAATTTCGAGCACCAGGGAAGTACCGAATTTGTAAGGTTTTCACACGTCGGGCCCTGGGAGACACTCGTTCGACACTGTTTCGACACTGTTTCGACACCTTTTGGGGTACTCGAAATTATTCCTAGGCTGTGGCCCTGAAGTACGATGGGAACAACATAATATCTGGATGAGGATGACGATGATGATAGTGGTGATGATGATGACGAGCATGATCATAATGATGATGGTGAGGATGATGATGACGACGATGATGATGATGATGATGATGATCATGATCATGATGATGATGATCATCATGATGATGATCATCATGATCATAATGCTGATGCTGATGCTGATGATGATGATGGTGATGATGGTGATGATGATGACAATGGTGGTGCTTGTGGTGATCATGATGATAATTGTGGTGCTGGCTATGATGAGGAGGAGGATGTTGATTGTGCTGGTGATGGTGAGGGTGAGGATTATATTATGATCCTCGTACTGATGATGATGATGATGCTGCTGCTGCTGATGATGGTTAAGATTAGGCTGATGATGATGATGATGATGATGCTGATGATGACGATTATGATGATTATGGGGACGATGCTGCTGCAGCTGCTGGTCATGATGATTATTAGTGTGATGGTGATGTTGATGGTGACGGTATGGTGATGGTGATGGCGATGGCGATGGTGATGGTGATGATGATGATGATGATGATGATGATGATGATGATGATGATGATGATGAGAATGAGGATGAGGATGAGGATGAGGATGATGAGGATGATGAGGATGATGAGGATGATGATGATGATGATGATGATGATGATGATGATGATGATGAATATGGTACTGCTGATGAATCTCGTTTGAGCCGTCCTTGTGTTGTCTTGGCCTCCTGTGAGGCAGTCTTGGGGGTCCCTTAGGGCCCTCTTGGGCCGTCTTAGGGCCCTCCTACGCAGGCTGAGGGTTCTCTTCGGCCGTGTTGGGTCCCTCTCGGCCGTATGGTGGGTTTCTGGGGGCCGTCTTGGCGCCGTCTTGGGCCGTCGAAGGGACTTCTAAGGTCGTCTTGGGTCCCATGGGAGAGTCCTCTTGGGCCGTCTTGGGCCGCATTGGATGCCTTTTGTGCTATCGTGGAGTCCTCCGAGCTGACGGCAGCCCGAAAAGAAGAGAATGCGAAAGCCAGTGAGGGAATTCATTGAATTTGGCTTCTTCGAACCTTGTTGGAGGTCCTCTTGTGACCCTTTTTGGCCGTCTTGGAGGCATCTCGGGCCGTCGTGAAGCAATGTTCGGCCGCCTTGGGGCCATCGTGGGCCGTCTTCGAGGCATCTTGGACCATATTGGTGTCCTTGATTGCCTGCACGGGCCGTCTTGGAAGCTCGGGACGCACATCCATCGTTTTTAACAAAGGATCGTGGCTTGGGACGCCCTGGAGCACTTGGGAGCAGCGCCTGGGAATGCGGGATTCTCGACCGGCTGCGCGTGGGATGAGGGGTCTAGGAGGTAGCAGCCATGCGGGAAGTGAACAATCCTCGATCGGGTGCGTGTGGGATGAGGGGTCTAGGAGGCAGCAGCCATGCGGGCGGGCACGCGTGGGAGGGGGTTCAGGCATTAGCTGCCATGCGGGAAGTGCACCATCCTCGAGCGGGCACGCGTGGAAGGGGGGTCAAGCATCCGCTGCCATGCTGGCAGTGCGCCATCCTCGAGCAGGCGCGAGGGAAGAGGCCTCGGTGAGTGGGGGGCTGCATGCAGGAGTCTGTGAGTAGATAACAAAAAGATCCCTACATTAGATAACAAAAGCCCTACATTAGATAGCCCTACATTAGATAACAAAAGCCCTACATTAGATAACAAAAGCCCTA